CACTGCACTCCAGTCTGGGTGACAGAGTGAGACTCCAACTCAAAAAAAAAAAAGTTGAATTTATCTATGTTGCCCAGGCTGGTCTTGAACTCCTGGGCTCTCCTTGCACCTTAGCATCTCAAGAAGCTGGGACTACAGGTGTGAGCCACTGTGTCCGGCCCTAGCTTTATTTTTGAATAGACAATAGTTAACCACCATCCCCAGTTTTTTTGTTTCCTTTCTAGGATAGCCATTGCATATGCAAACACAAATGAGAACACACCGTACCTTGTTTTATTCACTCAAATATCTCAATTCCTTCATATAACATTAGCAATTAATTCAAAATGGATTCCAGATTATGTAGGCCAATTTGTGCCCTCTGCTGGGAGCTGTAGGGTCTAAACTGGGAAACCAAGGTCAAGAGAGGGAAGGGACAGGGAAGACCAGGGTGAGTAAGGTCCATGAGCCTCTTCTAGCTTCTCTCCCCAGAGGTTCCATGAGACAGAGGTTGGTTTGCAAGGCCTGGGCCATGCCATTGCCTCCCCCACTCCCATCCCATTCCTAGTCGTCAAAACTAGCTCTTTTGCTCTGGCATCAACTGGTTGGAGATCCACAGAACAGCATTGATCATTCTGTGCCAAACAGCATGGTGCCAGCTATAAACATTATTTCCCAGAAGGCCAAGCTGGTGGAGGCTGCATGGTCCAGGAAGCTGTCTTGGAGACAGAGGCAGGGCAACACCTAAGCTGGCTCCAGAAAAGTGGGGGAAAGTCATGTTAAGTCACCAGTGGCTGCAGGACAGCATGACCCCAGGCACTCGTGCATGACTGTGGCTCCAGGGAGAGTGTCTAGGAGGAGGGATGATGATGCTGCTGCTGCCCACAGAGGGGTCAAGGTTTAAGCAGAGAAAAAACAAGAACAAACCTCTGCCCTGAGAGCAGCTCCCAACCCCGCAGACTTTGACCAGGTCCAGCCCCAGGGGTCGAAATCAGGCAGGGGAGGTAACACCAGGACAGCAGACTGTGGATGCAAGGGATAGGTGATTCCCAAGTCTGAGTTTACAAAATCAACACTTTTAAAATTTCCCCATCTCCAAGGAAACCAGGGCCAGAGCCTGGCCCATTTAGCTCCCACCCCCACCAAGGATATTTACAGCATGCCTAGAGGCTGCTCCTTCTACCCATCTGACCCATCTGAAAAGGGGAGGGGTTCCTTGTCCTCTTGGCCCCCACTTCCTTACCTAGCTTCTCTCTGGTCTTCAACACTACATTCTTTTTTTCTTTTTTTGAGTTGGGTCTCACTCTGTCACTCAGGCTAGAGTGCAGTGGCACAACCACAGCTCACCAAAGTCTTGACCTGGGCTAGGGTGATCCTTCTGCCTCAGCCTCCTAAGCAGCAGGATTACAGGCACATGCCACATGCCTGGCTAATTTTTTGATTTCTTGTAGAGATGAGGTCTTACTTTGTTGCCCAGGCTACTCTCAAACTCTGGGTCTCAAGCAATCCTCCCACATTTGGCCTCCCAAAGTGCTGGGATTATAGACATGAGCCACTGTGCCAGGCCCAGCTCATTCTTTTTTATATATACCTCATTTCTTTCTGAAAGGGACAAGAAGCATCTACTGAGGAGTGTGGATACCTTCAATGTGAATGGGATCTGCTGGTTTTATAAGCAGAGTGATACAATCACCTTTGAATTTGGTTAAAACTGCTCTGGTCTCTAGGGAGGAAAGTGCAGAAGGAACACCAGGGACTAGAAACGTGTTATAAAAAACAAACAAGAATACAGACCCAATGAGGGCATGGAGCCATGGGGAGGAAGAAAAAGAGAGCCTAGGACAACTGGGGATCTGGCTAGGGGATGGACACAAGGGGCTCCTTTCACATACATGTGGGACACAGGCAGTAGGCTGGGGACAAAAAAACACCCCACCCAGCTACACTGCATTGGGTTTAGGAAGTAGCTGGAAGTGCTCGGCTGGAGGGAGGTGGCAGCTGGAGTCAAGGAGGCACGTGGTATGTGGGGTCAGTCAATCTGGGGATACAGAGCTCTGGAAGCACCTCTAGGTCTCTCTCTAGGAATACATACCTCCCCATGCACACACTATCTCATGAGTGAATGTGGTTAGGGGCACCTGTGCACAGTGAGAAGGAAGGGCAAGGGCTGAACTTGGGAGACACCACCACTTATGAGTCTGAAAGGACAACTCTGCAAAGGATGCTAAGAAGCAGCCAGAGGGAGAACACATGAAGCGCCCAAGGAGTAAGACCAACACTGGTAGGACACCCCACTGGACCTAGGCAAAGTGAGGCCCAAGACACGGCTGATGGATGGGCAGTCCTGGGCAGAGGTGAGGGCACAGCCAGACTGCAGAGGTTAAAGCATGAACATCCTGAGGAACTAGGTCAGTGGCTTCTTAGAGAACCAAGAAAGTGGGCAGACAAGGAGATGCAGAGGTGATGGTGGCCATGGACACACTCCATGTGAAAGCTGCAAAAAACACAGCTTACAGAAGAGGAAACAGAGGAGCAGGAAGACCTCACTGGGAGATAGAAATAAAGCCTTTCCCATCCCCAAGTGCAGCCCTCCAGCACACAATCCTGCACCAGTGTGACCCTATCTTGTTCTCACCCAGGCCACCTGGATCTTGGTGGTGGATCACACAAAACCCTGAGACTCTTGGGGGTCAGTGACCTTCACTCTGCTTCTGGTTCAGGCCTCACATCTGCACACGGCAAGCAGGTAGCCTGGTAGGACTGAGGACTATCCTACTGCCTGTGTGGACCCAAGTAACAGTCAGGCTGCCAGCAGACATAACAAGAATAACTTCCCACCCATCTATCCGCTTCAATACTCTTCTTTGTAAAAGGGGAGTTATCTTTATCCTAACTATAGAAATGAAGTAGATGGAATCTTCTGGGCCCAGAGCTTTCCTAGAGTCTAGAAAGAGGACTGGTGACAAGAATGGCACCTGAGCCTCCTTCTGAGGATGACTGAGAACAAGAGAAGGCCAGTGTCACCTGAGTGTCATCTACCTAGGAAATGATGCCCACAGGACAGAGCTAAGGCTGCGGGGGATGGTTCAGCCAGAAGCAGCCTCGGGTGAACTGAGGACCCTTCTTCCACCCCTTTCCCTCCTCCCCCATCCCCTCCCCAAATACTCTAGAAGAGGGCATTCCAACCCTGGCATTCTGCCACTTGGGCAGGATGATTCTTTGTTGTGGGGACTGTCCTGTGCATTGTAGGATGTTTAGCAGCCGCCCTGGCCTCTCTCTATTCACTGGACACCAATAGAACTACGCCCTTCCCCCGCTTAAGCAACAAAAATGTCTCCATTTTGTCCCCTGGGGGACAAAACTGTCTCCATCTGAGAACCCCTAGCTTAGAACCGTCAAGCTCTCACCCTCTTCCTTCCACCCCCTCCCCCATCTTCCTCACATTCTTCCACCACACTGGCTGCCTGAGCATTCCAGGCCTCCAGTCCTCTCCCAGAACATTGGAACCCGTTCAGTAATGCCACACAGCAAAGACCTGATGCTGCTTCCAAGGACAGTTATGGACAGTTCACAGGATGGCAATGTGTACCAGCAGGCAGCCCCTAAGGCAACCTGAAGATGTGCCACATTCCTGGGCTCCCATTCCCCTCCACTGAATCAGGATGTCTTGAGTAAGGTATAGGACTACAGGGAGGGATCCAGGGCCAAGTCCAGGCTATGCCCTGTGCCCACTATCCAAATGCAGGTGACTCAGAGCAGGGGACATTAAGCAGTAGTCACAACCCCTCCCAGAGACAAGTCTCACCTTCTGTCATAGGGAGCCTGTGAACGGATCCCTACCCACTCCGTGCTCCACTCTTAGTGCTGCAGGAAGAGAGGTGATCTGAGCAATTTGGAGGCCAGACTTTAATTCAAAGCATGCCACTCCAGTCATTAAAAATGGTACTTACAAACTTTATTTAAAAGATCCAATCATTATACTGTGAAAATGAAATTACCACATATTAAATAGTACATAGCATATGATCTCAATGTAAACAAGGGAAAAGTGTCAAAGTATTGACATAGGCCATCTCTGAGTGAAAGAATTATGGTTAATTTTTCCTGCTTCCTTACATTTTCAGTAATATCCAAATATCTTAACAAATTAGTCTTAGTCAAACATGGCTAACAACCCAGCCGGGGAGGTGAGGGAACAGGTTTCCAGGGCTGCCAGTCCAGCAAGGGGAGTTTCCCTCACCCCCACAGCCAGGGCCACACTGCAAGTTAGGCCCAGAGCCTTCCCTTACTCTTCCGACCTTCAACTTAGTGTCCACCTTTCCCAGCCACCACTTTATCCTCAGGCTACCTGCATGCAAGTCATTTGGGGGTAATGGGCCTGTCCCAACACTCCTGGTCTCGCCTCTTCCTTCTTCTCCTGTCCAATTCCACTTGTTCCTGGACCCTGAGTGCTTGGGTCCTGCACTCTGCCCTGCAGAAACTGCATCCATTTTGAGTGGGCTCCACATATATCCTTTTTTTCTTCCAAATAAGGGACTTGCCCTTTAACAGTGTCCAGGGACAGAGGGACGAGGGTGCTAGTAGGTGGGGTATGTAGCTAGCCACCAGAAGCCTGGGAAAGCTATTGGGACACATTCTAAGGCTGCTTTCACTGTAGGAAGAAATAAACCCCAAGGTTTCTAGTAATCTAGAAAAAACTATTGGTAAAAATGCCGCTTTAGTCGGGCTTGGTGGCTCAGCCTGCAATCCCAGCGCTTTGGGAGGCTGAGGTGAGCGGATTGCCTGAGCCTGCAGGTTCGAGACCTGCCTGGGCAACTTGGCGAGACCTCAT